GTTGATGGAATCGGTAAAACATGTACTATCTTTTTCAATGGCGCAATATGAGGAGCAAATGCTTTTGTGGCCAAAATCATGTAATGTGTGCTACCAACAGGCTGAACTAAAAACTTGTCAGAGATGCTTTTCCGCCAACTACTGTAATGAGCACGTAAATGCTTTTCACACGAAACATGATGGCTATCTGTGTGATCAGATGATGCTTATGCTCAACATAGGTATCGAATTTAGCTCTGAAGGAACAATGTTATACGATTTCCTTTCGTTTGTCAACGAGCAGAGTCGTTTCGAACACATGATTGAGTTCTGTGTAGACAATATTATAAGGAAAAGGAAAGGTATAGACAGAGATTGGTTTGCTAAAGATTACGTATGTTCTGATTACTTTTCCGAACCACTTACAGTCTATTATGGCTTAAAAAAAATTAATATTCTCTTGCGAACACATACAATTATTCACGTTATACATACAAAGCCGGTCCATATCGACAATCTACGGGCTTGGGAAGTCTTGTTACATATGAAACCAGAGATCGAACATCTAGTGGTTTTAATGATAGGTACTGAATTGGAGGATAGGCCAATATCTACCGTTAATATTCTAGATCTCTGTAAAAATTGTCGGATTAATAATAAAACTATTACCTTCCATTTTCATCGTATGTTCTATCACGAATTTATAATATCACGTACGACATATAAATATCCTGAAGTAATTATAGGATTTGATGTGGAATTTTATGAAGGGGAGAAATGGTTAAAATTTATAAAAGAAATGTTTACTAGAGAATGCCCGTTAATTTTAAGCTTTTCTTACGGAAAGAAAGTGCTAAGTAACATAACTGAGATAGAAAAAACCTTTGTTGAAGCTGTAGAAGTTTTTAATGGAAGAAATTATTTTGCCGGGCTTTCGCCCCACAGAGATCTCGAGACAGGTGACATATGTTTCTGTAATGAACGTTTAATTATTTATGATAACTATAATTCAGATGATGAGGACAATATCAACACCAAGGAATAGCCGCACCATTATTTTAGTAACATTATCGCAAATAAGAAACAACAATGTACAACAAAATAAAAATAAAAATGTATTGTAAATCATGCAAAACCATGCAAAGATCAAGGACCAGCGTTATTAATGATAGTTATCTATCCCTAATGTCAGTTATGTTGAGGAAATCTATGTGGAAATAAATATTTACAGCTATTTGAATCTCGACTTTTATTTCAAATTAACAACAGTTACCGAGACGATGGGAAACATACACAGATACTTATGAGAGGTTTCAGATACTTTATTATTGTCTTTCGAGCAACTGTCGCGTGAATATCTCTCTATTCTGATAATATTTACAGTACATTTTATTCTTGTAATTTACATTCCGAAGTCGCAGTTTGTGTCAAAAGTGATATATATATATATATATATATATATATAGTACAATATATATATAATATATATACTATTATATATATATAATAATATATATATATAATAGTATATATATATATATATATATATACACTATATATATATATATTATCCGTAAAACACTTCATTAAACAAACATCAGTATAAATACCCTAAGTAAAAAAATACTAGCATACCGTGGATTACTCACAACTAGATATTACAATCAATTTTTCAATCCAAACATTTGTCATGTTTGCAAATCAGTAGACAATAGCAATTTTATATTGTGTGATCGATGCTGCTTGATATCAATTATGTTGAGGATAATCCTTTAAGAAATAAATATTTGCAGCTATTTGAATCACTAGTTTCATTACAAATTAACAATAGATATCAAGACGCTAGGAAACATACACAGACACTTTATTATTGTCTTTCGAATACTTGCCGCAAAAAACCTCTGCCGCAAAAAATATTTCTCTAAGCTGAGATTATTTAAAGTAAATTTTATTATTGTGACCTACATATGGACGTCGCGTGCACGTTGTGTCACATATGATATTACCTATAAAATACCTATAAAATCGTTTCATTAAATCATATACCACAATGAGTAAATTAAGCAAAAGAGTACTTGAGTACCGTGGATTACGTACAGCTAGATATTACAATCAGTTTTTTAATCCGAACATTTGTCACGTTTGCAAATCGGTAAACGCAGAGACAATCAGTTACATCTTGTGCGACCAATGCTGCTTGGTTTCCTATTGCAATGTGGAGCATAAAAAGTTACATTATGCGGAACACAAAGCAATCTGCGAAGTTGTAACGCAAGTATTGACAGTGGAACCGCAAAGTGACATACACAGATACAATGAGTGGCAGGAATGGATCCAAACAAGGAAAGAATTGATGAAAACGATTCAACAGAATCTTAACCGTCCACTGGTGCCGTACGAGGAGCAGATGATCCTGTGGTCAAAAACGTGTTTTATATGCCACCAACAGGCTAAACTGAAAACTTGCCAGAGATGCTTTTCCGCCAACTACTGTGAGGAGCACGCGAATGCTTTTCGCACAAAACATGATGGCTATAAATGTGATCAGATGATGCTTATGCTCAATATAGACATCGAAATTATCTCTGGTAGAACAAGTAACATATCATACGGATTCCTCCCGTTTGTTAATGAGAAGAGTCGTTTCGACGAAATGCTGGAGTTCTGTATAGAAAATATTATAAAGAGAAGGAAAGATATAGATTGGCTTGCTAAAGATTACATACGTTCTGATTACCTTTCAGAGCCACTAACAGTCTATTATGGCTATAAAACATTAGATATTTTGAAAGATATGGAGGATTCGCTTGTTGTTATTCATATTATATTCATAAAGACGATTAAGCCCGATTATAAATCAGCTTGGGAAATTCTGCTACACATTTTACCTAACATAAAACATCTAGTAGTTTTAATGATAGGTAGGGATTTGAAGGGCAGTCGTAACGTACAAAATGTGTGTGAAAATTGTGAAATTAAGAACAAGCGTATGACCTTTTATTCCATCCCCCTGTCCTATTATGAAAGTATATTAAACAGTTGTATATATAAAGTTCCTAGTGTCATTGTAGGATTTGATGTGGAATTTGATGGAAATAGAGAATGGTTAGAATCTATGAAAAGAATATTTCGCCGAAAATTACCATTACTTTTTACTCTCCCTTCTCAGCAGAAAGTACAAAATATTATAATTAAGTTACAAAATATTTTCGGTAAAACTGTAAAAGCTGTTATCAATAAGAGAAATTATTTTGCTGGCCTTATGCCTCATAAAGACGTCAGTACAGGCGACATATATTTTTGTAACGAGTGTTTAATTTTTCTTATGAATTCTGATGCTGAGAATGTTGGGGATGACAACTTCGACACCACTATCGACACCACTACCGACTCCAACTTCACCGACTAATTGCAACCGTTATTTTAGTAGTATTATTTCAAACAAGAAACGAACAAAATATGAGCAAGATGCAAAAAAAAATTGTTATTGTAAATCATATGTAAATCATGAACGCGAATTATTAATAACTGTCTTCTTCCATAATGGCAATTATGTCGAGTATAATACATTTCGAAATAAATATTATAATTATTTGTGTGAATCTCGAGTTTTATTTCAAATTAATAACAGTCGCCGAGATGCCGGGAAATATACACAAATACTTTATTAGTGTCTTTCAAGCACTTGCCGCATAAACATCTCTCTATGCTGAGATAATTTATAGTAAGTTTTATTATTGCCAATTACATACGGACATCGCGTGCGTTTACATCACAAGTAATATTATCCATAAAATATTACATCATTTCATTAAATAACATATCAATATGAGCACTCTAAGTAAAAAAGTACTTGAATACCGTGGATTACGTACAGCTAGATATTACAATCAGTTTTTTAATCCGAACATTTGTCACGTTTGCAAATCGGTAAACGCAGAGACAAGCAGTTACATCTTGTGCGACCAATGCTGCTTGATTTCCTATTGCAATGTGGAACATAAAATGGCACATTACGTGGAACACAAGGACATCTGCAAAATTATAACGCAACTATCGAAGGTGAGACCACAAGAAGACGATAAAAGATACAAAGATTGGCAAGAATGGATACAGTCGAGAAGGGAGTTGATAGAATCGATAAAACATAGACTGGATCGTCCAATCGAGCCGTATGAGGAACAAATGTTTTTGTGGTCAAAATCATGTAATGTGTGCCACCAACAGGCTGAACTAAAAACTTGCCAGATGTGCTTTTCTGTCAACTACTGCGATCAGCACGCGGATGCTTTTCACATGAAACATGATGGATATAAGTGTGACCAGATGATGCTTATGCTCAACATAGATATCGAAATTATCTCTGGTAAAACAAGTAACATATCATACAGATTTTTCCCGTTTATTAATAAAAAAAGTCATCGCGAAGAAATGCTAGAGTTCTGTATAGAAAATATTGTAAAGAGAAGAAAAGATATAGATTGGCTTGCTAAAGATTACATACGTTCTGATTACCTTTCACAGCCACTAACAGTCTATTATGGCTGCGTAAGATTACAGATTTTGAAAGATATACAGAAATGGACTGTTGTTATTCATGTTATATATGCAAAGTTGGTTAATAACGATAGTCTATCGGCTTGGGAAGTTTTGTTACACATTCTACCTCAAATCCAATGTCTAATAATTATAATGACAGGTAATGAAATGAAGTGCGATTACAACATGCAAAGTGTGTGTGAGAAATGTAAAAGTAAGGAGAAGAAGCTGCAGTTTTTTTTCAACAATTTTCCTTATCACAAAATTGTAAAAAAATATCCTGCATTTAGAAATCCTGATATCATTGTAGGGTATGATGTGGAATTTTATAAGGGGAGAAAATGGAAAAAATCTATAAGAGCAATATTTAATCAACGATGCCCAATATTTTTAAGTTTTCCTTCTGAGCATAAACTGCAAAATATTATAACTAAGATACGAGGTATTGTTGATGATATTATAGATATTTTTTCTGAGAGGAATTATTTTGCTGGTCTTGCGCCTCACAAAGATGTCGAGACAGGTGACATATATTTTTGTAATGAACGTTTAATTACTTTTATGTATCATGATCCAAAAAGTAACGGAGATAACACCAACACTGACGTCTCCGTCGATTAGCCGCGTCATTATTTTAGTAGCATTATTGTAAATTAGAATCAAACAAAATATAAAAAGATGCAGATAAATTTTTATTGTAAATCATGTATAAGTCGAGAGTTCGCGTTGTTAATAACAGTTTCCTTCCCTAATGTCAATTATGTTTGAGCGTCTAATCTATTTAGAAATAAATATTTACAGCGATCTGAATAGTTGAGTTTCATTTCAAATTAACAACAAATACCAAGACGCAGGGAAACATACACAGACACTATATTATTGCCTTTCAAACAGTTGCCGTGTAAACATCTCTCTATGCTGAGATAATTTATAGTAAATTTTATTATTGCCACTTACATACGGACATTGCGTGCGTTTGTATCACAAGTGATATTATCCATAGAATACTAAGTCATTTCAGTAAACGACATATCAATATGAGCACTTTGAGTAAAAAAATACTTGAATATCGTGGATTACGCATACCAGAATATTACAATCAGTTCTTCAATCCGAATATTTGTCACGTTTGCAAATCGGTGAACGTAGATGAAAGCAGTCCCATATTATGCGATTGGTGCAGCTTGGTTTACTATTGCAGCATAGGGCATAAAATGCTACATTATTTAGAACACAACGAAATTTGCGAAATTATATGGCAAGTACTGGAAATAAAACCGCAAAGAGACACACGCAGATACAAAAACTGGCAAGAATGGATCGAAACTAGAAAACAATTGATGAAAGCAGTTCAACAAAATCTTAACCGTCCATTGAAGCCATATGAGAAGCAGATGTTCTTGTGGTCAAAATCGTGTTATGTATGCCATCAACAGACTGAATTGAAAACTTGCCAGAGATGCTTTTCCGGCAATTATTGTGATGAGCACGAGAATGTTTTTTGCACGAAACATGATGGCTATAACTGTGATCAGATGATGCTTATGCTCAATATAGACATCGAAATTATCTCTGGTAAAACAAGTAACATATCATATGGATTCCTCCAGTTAGTCGACGAGAAAAAATGTTTCGAAGAAATGCTAGAGTTTTATATAGAAAATATTTTAAAACGAAGAAGAGATATAGATTGGCTTGCTAAAGATTACATACGATCTGATTACCTTTCAGGACCACTAACAGTCTATCATGGCTTGAAGAAACTAAATATTTTGAATGTTATAGAAAATTCGCGAATTGTTATTCATATTATAGGCATAAACTCCGTGGATAAGAATGGGCTATGTGCTTGGGAAGTACTTTTGCATTTTTTACCTAAAGTAAAACATTTAGTAATTGAAATAATTGGTCCAAAATTAGTCCCCGGTAATTATAAATATAACTTATGTAGGAAATGCAAAGATGGAAAAGAGATGTCCGTTTCTGTAATATCCATGTTGTATCACCATTACGTAAAACTGTTCAAGTATCAGAAAAGTGTAAGAAATATGTTGCCAAATGCGGTTTTAGGGTCTCATTTGAACATGAATAATATTGATACATGGCTGGAAACTATACTAGAATTTGAGGACTTAGCCGCTCCATTATTATTAAGTTTTCCAAGTGCACAGAAAGCACAAAATGTTATAGAAAAAATACAAGATATTCTTTGTACAAAAATAGACCCTAATTATAATAATAGAAATCATTTCCCTGGCCTTATGCCGCATAAATGTATTGAAAGCGGTAATATATATTTTTGTAACGAATATTTAGTTATCTACGATAATTTGACATGGATTAGTAGAAAAATCTTACCCAAGATCTTAGATAAGGTTGAACCAACAGCAAATATACTAATTTAAACGTCATGAATAAAAAAGACATTAGTAAACAAGATAGATATTAAATTATAATTTTGTATAAAGCACGAAAATTAATAATAAAAACTATTTTAATTCCAGTTATGTTTGTATGAAATAATTTAACTGGAAATAAATATTTGAAATACTTGAATCTCCCATTACATTTCAAATTAATAACAGTTATGGAGACATGTGCGACAAGTACGAACAAATAATTTATCACTGTGTTTAGGGCAAACGTCAGGTTAACGTCTATATTGAATTTATGTACAGAATCTTGTTATTGTCATTTACAAGCCGTGTATCGCGTATTCTTTCTCTAGTGTAATATTACAGGTAAAATATTCAAAATCTTTACCCGCAAAATTATCGATATGAACAATCCAAATAAATATGTATATGAATGTCGCGGACATTGCACACTAGAATGTTACAATCGGTTTTTCAATCCGAATATTTATGACGTCTGCAAATCAGTAAATATCAACAATTTCATATAATACACATTTCATATAATGTAATCCATATTGTTTAATCTTTTACTGTAATAAGAAACAAAACGACCGCGATATAATTGTAAGATTCCATGTAAGATTTTTTGAAGGGCATTGAAGAGTAAGCATGGTTAGAATGTATTGTAATATAAGAATAGTGCACAGTAGATTGTGTCCATTATTTCTAATCTATCCTAGTGGACGGGAAACACAAAGTAGCATAACTAAGATACAAGAAATATTCGACAAAAGTGTAAAAGCCGTTTTTGATGAGAGAAATTATTTTGCTGACCTTGCGTTTTACAGAGACGTAGCAATAGGTGATACATATTCTGAATCTCGATTTCTATTTCAAATTAATAACAGTCACCGAGATGCCGGGAAATATACACAAATACTTTATTATTATCTTTCAAGCACTTGCCGCACAAACATCTCTATATGCTGAGACAATTTATAGTAAATTTTATTATTGCCACTTGCGGATAGAAGTCAAGTGCATTTAAATCGCAAATAGTATTACATGTGAAATATTATCGAACTTCATTAAACAAACATTTCGATATGAGTATTCTCAGTAAAAAAGTCCTAGAATATCGGGGATTACGTATACCAGAACATCACAATCAGTTTTTTAATCCGAACATTTGTCACGTTTGCAAATCGGGGAACGTAGATGAAAGCAGTCCCATATTGTGCGATTTATGCAGCTTGGTTTCCTATTGCAGCACGGAGCACAAAATGCTACATTATTTAGAACACAAGGAAATTTGCGAAATTATAACGCAAGTATTGACAGTGAAACCTCAAAATGACATACACAGATACAATGACTGGCAGGAATGAATCCAAGCAAGAAAAGAATTGATGAAAACGATTCAACACAATCTTAACCGTCCACTGAAGCCGTACGAGAAGCAGATGATTCTGTGGTCAAAAACGTGTTTTATATGCCACCAACAGGTTGAACTGAAAACTTGCCAGAGATACTTTTCCGCCAACTACTGTGAGGAGCACGCGAATGCTTTTCGCACAAAACATGATGGCTATAACTGTGATCAGATGATGCTTATGCTCAATATAGACATCGAAATTGTAAAATTGAGGAGAAGAAGCTGCAGTTTTTTTTCGTCAATTTGCCCCATCACAAAGTTGTAAAAGGATTTAGAAATCCTGATATCAATGTAGGGTATGATGTGGAATTTTTTGAAGGGAGAAAATTGATAAAATCTATAACAGCAATATTTAATCAACGACGCCCAATATTTTTAAGCTTTTCTTCTGAGCAAAAACTGCAAAATATTATAACCATGTTACGAGATATTATCGATGAAACTGTAGAAATTGTTTCTGGGAAGAATTATTTTGCTGGTCTTGCGCCTCACAAAGATATCGAGACAGATAACATAAATTTTTGTAATGAACGTTTAATTACTCTTGTGTATTATGATCCAGAAAGTGACGGAGATAACACTAACACATACAACGTCCGGCGATTAGACGCATCATTATTTTAGTAGCATTATTGTAAACAAGAGTTAAACAAAATCAATAAAAAGATGCAGATAAATTGTTATTGTAAATCATGCATAAGTTATAAGTTCGCGTTGTTAATAACAGTTTCCTTCCCTAATGTCAATTATATTTGAGCTATTTATAAATAAATATTTACAGCGATCTGAATAGTTGAGTCTCATTTCAAATTAACAACAGATGCGGGGAAACATATACAGACACTATATTATTGCCTTTCGAACAGTTGCCCTGTAAACATCTCTCTAGGCTGAGATAATTTATAGTAAATTTTATTACTGCCATTTACATACGGACATCGCGTGCATTTATATCACAAGTAATATTATCCAGAAAATACTAAATTATTTCATTGAACGAGATATCAATATGAGCACTCTAAGTAAAAAAGTACTTGAATACCGTGGATTACGTACAGCTAGATATTACAATCAGTTTTTTAATCCGAACATTTGTCACGTTTGCAAATCGGTAGACGTAGATGAAGGTGGTTTCATATTGTGTGACGAATGCTGCTTGATTTCTTATTGCAACATGGAGCATAAAATGATACATTATGTGGAACACAAAGCAATCTGCGAAGTTATGATGCAAGTGTTGATAGTGGAACCGCAAAGTGACATACACAGATACAATGACTGGCAGGAATGGATCCAAACAAGGAAAGAATTGATGAAAACGATTCAACAGAATCTTAACCGTTCACTGGAGCCGTACGAGAAGCAGATGATCCTGTGGTCAAAAACGTGTTTTATATGCCACCAACAGGCTGAACTGAAAACTTGCCAGAGATGCTTCTCCGCCAACTACTGCGAGGAGCACGCGAATGCTTTTCGCACAAAACATGATGGCTATAAATGTGATCAGATGATGCTTATGCTCAATATAGACATCGAAATTATCTCTGGTAGAACAAGTAACATATCATATGGATTCCTCCCGTTTGTTAATGAGAAGAGTCGTTTCGAGGAAATGCTGGATTTCTGTATAGAAAATATTATAAAGAGAAGGAAAGATATAGATTGGCTTGCTAAAGATTACATACGTTCTGATTACCTTTCAGAGCCACTAACGGTCTATTATGGCTATAAAACATTAGATATTTTGAAAGATATGAAGGATTCGCTTGTTGTTATTCATATTATATTCACAAAGACGATTAAGCCCGATTATAAATCAGCTTGGGAAATTCTGCTACACATTTTACCTAACATAAAACGTCTAGTAGTTTTAATGATAGGTAGGGATTTGAAGGGCAGTCGTAACGTACAAAATGTGTGTGAAAATTGTAAAATTAAGAAAAAGAGTCTGTCATTTTATTCCTTCCCCCTGTCCTGTTACAAAATTATATTAAACAGTTGTAAATTTAAAGTTCCTAATGTCATTGTAGGATTTGATGTGGAATTTGATGGAAATAGAGAATGGTTAGAATCTGTGAAAACAATATTTCGCCGAAAATTTCCATTACTTTTTAGTTTCCCTTCTCAGCAGAAAGTGCAAAATATTATAATTAAGTTACAAAATATTTTCGGTAAAACTATAGACGCTGTTATCAATAAGAGAAATTATTTTGCTGGCCTTATGCCTCACAGAGACGTCAGTACAGGCGACATATATTTTTGTAATGAACGTTTAATTATTCTTATGAATTGTGATGCTGAGAAAGTTGGGGATGACAACTCCGACACCACTACCGACTGCAACTTCGCCGACTAATTGCAACCATTATTTTAGTAGCATTATTTCAAACAAGAAACGAACAAAATGTGAGCAAGATGCAGAAAAAAATTGTTATTGTAAATCATATATAAATCATGAACTCGAATTGTTAATAACTGTTTTCTTCCATAATGGCAATTATGTCAAGTATAATACATTTCAAAATAAATATTTACAATTATTTGTGTGAATCTCGAACTTTATTTCAAGTTAACAGCAGTTGCCGAGGCGCTAGGAAATATACTCGGATACTTTATTATTGTCTTTCGAGCACTTGCCGCATAAACATCTCTCCGTGCTAAGATAATTTATAGTAAATTTTATTATTGCGAATTACGTATAAAAATCACGCGCGTTTGAGTCGCAAGTGGTATTATCTCTGAAATATTATAGAATTGCATTAAACAAACATATCAATATGAATATTCTAAGTAAAAAAATACTTGAATATCGTGGATTCCGCATACCAAAATATTACAATCAGTTCTTCAATCCGAATGTTTGTCACATTTGCAAATCGGTGAACGTAGATGAAAGCAGTTCCACATTGTGCGATTTATGCAGCTTGGTTTCCTATTGCAGCGCGGAGCATAAAATGCTACATTATTTAGAACACAAGGAAATTTGCAAAATTATAACGCAAGTATTGACAGTGAAACCTCAAAATAACATACACAGATACAATGACTGGCAGGAATGGATCCAAACAAGAAAAGAATTGATGAAAACGATTCAACACAATCTTAACCGTCCACTGGAGCCGTACGAGAAGCAGATGATCCTGTGGTCAAAAACGTGTTTTATATGCCACCAACAGGCTGAACTGAAAACTTGCCAGAGATGCTTTTCCGCCAACTACTGCGAGGAGCACGCGAATGCTTTTCGCACAAAACATGATGGCTATAACTGTGATCAGATGATGCTTATGCTCAATATAGACATCGAAATTATCTCTGGTAGAACAAGTAACATATCATACAGATTCCTTTCGTTTGTTAATGAGAAGAGTCGTTTCGAAGAAATGCTTGAGTTCTGTATAGAAAATATTGTAAGGCGAAGAAAAGATATAGATTGGCTTGCTAAAGATTACGTACGTTCTGATTACCTTTCGAAACCACTGACAGTCTATTATGGCTTTAAGATATTAAAGATTTTAGATACTCTCCAGCAATCGCTTATTACTATTCACGTTATTCACAACGCAAACTTGGTTGATGGTGACGATCTACCGGCATGGGAAATTTTATTACATATTCTACCTGGAGTCCAGCGTCTAGTTATTTTAATAATCGGTACTGAATTAAAGAGCAAA